TGCGAGATAGTCAGAATTCGGCCCTACATCAGATACACAGGCAACCTAATTTCAATACAATTGCGATAGTTTTAGATGACGTACTGACTGACCAATCTAGCTAGTCCAGAGCGAGTCGAGAGGTGTTTTGCATGATCATTAATTAGATTTTTTTTTGCTGAGCTATGTATTAATAAAAATTTTTTCTTGGCAAAAAAACCGTTCCTTCGGAAAATGATAAACATCATGTGGCTAGTACCTGAATTCGTAGTTGCATGTGGCTTATATGTTAAACAGGTTAAATCGATTACTTAAAATGCGAAGTATGATATATTGATATCGGAAAAATTCTTGCCGAAATAATTGGGTGCAACATAAGACCACCTTAAAATGATGTTAATTGCTCTGTAGATGCTCAAAGTCGAAGCGATATTGTTATTCTAACATATTCATCATGATCTTCAGGGTGAAAGGTTCGATACTATAATATTTTTATTTTAATAGTTTAGCTGACGCCGACCCTTTTCATTAAAAATGTATTTTCATAATTAAAATGAGTAATAAAATAAGTTTACTCGACTTAAATAGATCATGATATCTTTATTGATTAATTGTGCAGACAATTATGATCCTGCGTAGTAATTGTTTCACATAAATATGACTTTCTGATTGTATTTATACATCATCTCTCAACTCTTATCAATTCTATTCATCTCTCAAATTTTCAATTTTCAACAACAGCTAAAATGTCCACCATTCCCATCCCTCAACAACTAGGCTTCGATGAAGAAGAAACAAAAGTCTTTAATGAGTTGACCGGACGAGAAAGAAGAAGATTTGACGCCCAGCCAGATAACAATTCAAAAATTGCTTTTATTCAAGCCATGGTGGAAAAAGAAAAATCTTGGCGTGAAAAATCGGTATGTTTAGCCAGGAGACGCGTATTCTGTTAGAATATTTTACTGAAATTATTTTAGCGCCTTCGTCGCTTCTTGACATACCTTTTTCGTTAGGAAATTAACCAAAAGCTAATTTACCTTGGACTCTACTTGGGCGCCCTAATTATCCTTGTTTCTCTTGGTTCGACGACATATAAAAACGACGAAAAACAATTGAGATTTTTTTCATTGATATTAAATTCGCTGATTTTTTTTGTAGAAATAATTATGTTGTTTAATCAACTGCGGTGGAGTAGTGTCGATTGTTATTTTATTGTTATATGTATTATATTAATAGCTATAGGAATATTATTATCGGCACTTTTACCAACATTTTTTAAATTTTTATCAATCAATTTTTGTATTTTTTTTACCAAAGCTAGCATAATTTTTTGCGATGTTTTATTTCGTTGGTTCAAATATCAATTTTATTAATTCATTTTTCGTGTAACAAATAGTATTTGTAACTAAACACTTATTCCCAATAAATACGATTATCGTACTATCTTTTTCTGACGAAAGAATTCCAAACCAAAATAAATTAGCTAGAAAATAAGCGCATGTTTACTACAGTATGTACAGCAGTATGAAGAGGCTCTGACGAAAAATACTGGAGACAAAAGTCCTGGACCCTGAGTATGAGTATGTTTATGGTATCGTCACAACAGGTTAGAGCGAAGTAAAAATTCAGATATCTTTTTCTTCCGATATACGCATTACTGATCCGTGCCTCACAATTTTTGAATAAATAGCCACGGACTGGTACTTCATCCTGCATAGCACCGAGACCATCTACTGTACAAGCAAGACTGAATATCAAATCTCTCTGACGGAAGATGCACTCAAAGACTCAACCGAATTGCGCAAGAATGTGAAGAGAATTTTAGAGGTGATAGTGGGTTTGTTAAAAGATAGTGTATCAGCTAGTGAAGAACCCGCAAATTAGAAAAGAGATAATCAAGAAAAAATAACACTAGCATAGACATCATGTACCACGGGCTATTTTGCGTGTATTAATAAAGCAAGTCTTTACATTTGTCACATAACATTGAATAATTCCTTCGTGTATAAAATTATCATCAATCATGTCAGTTAATGAAGCTAACCCATCCGAGCTTGAAATGATGAGTCAGAGAATTGAAGAGCTTGAGGTTGCAAACACGCAAGCGAGGCAGGAACATGTTGAACTCTTGAAAAGAATTATAAAACTAGAACAGGCTTGGACGGAAAGAGAATCTAAGAAAAACCGCAAATTTCAGACTAGATGCATCCAGATAGCTAAGGAAGTTCTTAACGAAGAACCTGTAGTT